GGTGATGGTGATGGTGGTGGTGGAGGTGGTGATGATGGTGATGGTGATGGAGGTGGTGGTGGTGGTGATGGTGGTGATGGTGGTGGTGGTGGTGATGAAGGTGGTGATGGTGGTGGTAGTGATGTTGGTGATGGTGGTGATGATGGTGGTGATGGTGGCGATGGAGGTGATGATGGTGGTGATGGAGGTGATGGTGATGGTGGTGGTGATGGAGGTGATGGTGGTGATGGAGGTGGTGGTGATGATGGTGATGATGGTGATGATGGTGGTGATGGAGGTGATGGTGATGATGGTGGTGACGGTGGCTATGGAGGTGATGGTGGTGATGATGGTGATAATGGTGGTGATGGTGGTGATGGAGGTGGTGGTGATGGTGGTGATGGAGGTGATGGTGGTGATGGAGGTGGTGGTGATGGTGATGGTGGTGATGGAGGTGGTGATGATGGTGATGGTGATGGAGGTGGTGGTGGTGGTGATGGTGGTGATGGTGGTGGTGGTGATGAAGGTGGTGATGGTGGTGATGATGGTGGTGATGGTGGCGATGGAGGTGATGATGGTGGCGATGGAGGTGATGGTGATGGTGGTGATGGAGGTGGTGGTGATGGTGGTGATGGTGATGATGGTGGTGATGGAGGTGGTGGTGATGGTGGTGATGATGGTAATGATGGTGGTGACGGTGGCGATGGAGGTGATGGTGGTGATGATGGTGATGATGGTGGTGTTGGTGGTGATGGTGGTGATGGAGGTGATGGTGGTGATGAAGGTGGTGGTGATGGTGGTGATGATGGTGATGATGGTGGTGATGGAGGTGGTGGTAATGGTGATGATGGTGATGATGGTGGTCATGGTGGTGATGGAGGTGGTGGTGATGATGGTGATGATGGTGATGATGGTGGTGATGGTGGTGATGGAGGTGGTGGTGATGGTGGTGATGATGGTGATGATGGTGATGATGGTGGTGATGGTGGTGATGATGGTGGTGATGGAGGTGATGGTGGTGATGGAGGTGGTGGTAATGGTGGTGATGGTGATGATGGTGGTGATGGTGGTGATGATGGTGGTGATGGTGGTGATGATGGTGGTGATGGAGGTGATGGAAGTGATGGTGGTGATGGTGGTGATGGAGGTGGTGGTGATGGTGGTGATGGTGATGATGGTGGTGATGGTGGTGATGATGGTGGTGATGATGGTGATGATGATGGTGGTGGTGGTGGTGATGGTGGTGATGGTGGTGATGGTGGTGGTGGTGGTGATGATGATGATGAAGGTAGAGATGGCAATGATGGCAGAGAGTGGCTTTGGGTGGCAGTCCCTGGAGATGGCTGATCTGGCTCCATGAGTGCTTGGACGTCCACCTTCATGTGTCCTGGAGAGCCTTCCTATCCACCTCATGTATTCACGAGGGCCTGTGAGGCCAGAGGAGAGCTGAGCTTTATGGAGAGGAAAGCCGAGACTCCAGGGGGCTGATGGAGTCTGGGGTGGGTGAGTGTTCCAGACACAGTGGGGTCCTGCTCTGCCCTGGTCACTGCTCATGGAGGCCAGTCGAGTTACCACACCACTGCCTGGTGAGCTCTCCCCGGGGCACCCAGAGGAAGGATGCTGGGATGTGGCAGCCGCTCTGACTCTGGGGCCAGATAGGCCTTAGGTTGAATCCACCAGTGCTGCCACCTAATGCAAGTCCTCTTGACTCTGTGATGTTCCATCTGCAGACGGTTTGGAGCCTAGGTGGCCCCGCTGCCTTCCCCCCAAAAGCTTCCAGCCATAGGCACAGGGGCAGCTGGGGATGGGAGCTGGGCTATAGGCACAGGACAGAGGAGATTGGGAATGGGCACCAGATCAAAGTACTGAGGTCTGGGTGGTCACTGGGGAATAGGCCAGAGCGTGGAGGCTGGGAGATCACTGGGGAGCAGGTCAGAGAGTGGAGGCTGGCTGGTCACTGGGGAGTGGGCTAAGGATGGTGTCCTTGGCAGTTGTGGTCACTAGTAGCCCCACAGTGAGGGGGGATAGGTGCGAGGACAGAGGGCAACAGCACCGTGTGACAGCTTTAAGCAGGGAGTGAGGGGGGTGATCACGTGTGGTCCCAGAGGCCAGGGTGGCTCTTCCCAACTGTGTGGGCACCGGACGGGCTGTGGCGGTGCTGGGTGGGATGGCCGCGGACCGATGCGAGGCGTGGCTCTTCTGCGTCTAAAACTGATCTCAAGTTCACCCCCTTCTTTCCCGCTCCACCAGCACCCCAGGCCAGGCCCGCGCGTCCTCTAGCCTCCCCTGGCCCTCCACGCTCCAGCCCTGGGCCTCTAGCCGCTCTCCCTCAGCCCTCAGACGGGGCGCTGACAGGCACTGAGCAGAGCTCCTCTCCCCTCACATAAATGCCCTTCCATGGCTTCCTGTTGCACTTGGACTAACAGCCAAGCTTCTTCCGGGGCCTCACGTCAGGCCCTCCCAGACTCTGCACACTCATCCCCCTCTCTGCCCCAGGCTCAGCCACACTGGCCTCATGTGGGTTCCTTAGAGGCACCGCGCTCATTCCAGCTCCCCGGCCTTTGCACACGCGATTCCTTCTACTTGGAGCGCTCTTTCCACGGATCCGCCGTGCGATGTCTTCCGATTCTTGTTGTTTTTACCTTAAATGTGTCTTTCTTTAGAGAGTGCAAGGTAGCTTCTCCCCACTCCCACCTTTCTCCCTTGTTTGTTTATTTTCCAGCACTTTTTAAAAAAGGTTTTATTTGTTTATTTTTAGAGAGAGAGAGGAAGGGAGGGAGAAAGAGACGGAGAGAAACATCCATCGGGTGCCTCTTTGCAGGTTCCAAACTGGGGACCTGGCCTGCAATCCAGGCATGTGTCCTGACTGGGACTCGAATCAGTGACCTTTCTGTTCACAGGCTGGCACTCAATCCACTGAGCCACCCCAGCCAGGGCTTCTTTCCAGCACTTTTTATTAATTTATTCAACAAATATTTATTGAGCGCCTTGTATGTTCCAGGCAATGGGAGAGAGAACAGTGAACAAAACAGACCACTGTCCTGCTCTGTTCTCTTACCGCTTTCTTTCAGGTGAGGAGACAGATACTAAATCATAAAGATGTAAATACGTAAATTATACGGCATGTTTGGTGGTGATAAGAGCTGTGGAAGCCCAGGGAGAGAGAAAAATTGATGGGCTGAAGCCTTTTTCCCTTGCTGGAGCGTCAGCATTGTGAAGGAGGGCCGGCGCCAGGTCTGGCTCCTTCCTCAGCGTAGCCCCAGAGCCTGCACAGTGTCTGCACATAGTAGGTGCTCAAGAAATACTGTTGGACAAATGAACGAATCTTCAGGGCCTGGGAGAAGAGGGTGTGGGCGAAGGGGGACAGAGTCCCCCAGGCACAGGCCTGGGGACGGCAGCTGCTGGTGTCTCCCCAGCACCTGAGCAGGTCCGGGCCGGCTAGTGCGTGGGCCCAGTGGACCCTGAGGTTGTCACCGAGGTGGGCAGCCCTGGAGCCCCCACAGGAAGGAAATGTCTCAGCCCGGAGCTTGACATGTGACGCGTGTCACCAGGCCGAGGTGCCCGGGAGCTTACATAAGGCCTGTGGCTGTTTTTCTGGAACCAAGAGCAAAACCCTGAGCCTGAGAGGAAACTCCGCCTCCCTGACCAACTGGGAGAAGTGGCAGGAGGTGCCAACTCCTGCCTGTTGCCCCCAGGAGCCGGGGAAGTGTCCAAACGCATCAGCTCTGGGCAGCTCGGCAGACAGCTCAGCAGCCGCAGGTGGCAGCTGGGGGAGGGGGCACCGGGGATGTGGGCCTCATCTCCAATGCTCACTGCCCAGCCTGGTGCTGTCGGGGTCTAGGGTTCAGAGGAGCCCCGTGGATAAGGACTCAGGGGTTGGTAGCCTCTTGGAGGGGGCGGTGAGCGGCAGGCCCTGAAGAGCGCTGTTCTTTCCGCACTGACGTCGTCTGGTGGTTGAGGGGGACGAGCCAGGCCACGGCCCGTCGTCACTGAGTCTGGAAGGCTGGTGCCGGGACTCTGGCCTCTAATGAAGCCTCAGTGTGTAGACTTGGCATGCCAGTCCCTCCTCGGGCCTCAGTTTCTCCATCTGCTCAATGGGTGTGAATAACCCTGGGGGGGCGCTGTCGGGCGCATCCGACGAGACCAGGATGTGGACCTACCCCTGAGGCTGAGTCAGGACCCGCTACGTGACTGGCAGGGCCCAGCGTGAAATGGCAATGTGGGGCCCCTGGGTCAGAAATTATCTTTCCAGCTGGTGGCAGCAGAGCATTGGAGCCAGCACAGGCCCTTCCGGCGTGGGGCCCGCATGGCCGCACAGTGCAGTTGGCCCTTAGGAGGCCGGCCCTGACGGCGCTTTGTCTCTTCTGTGCCCTGGCCGTGCATCGGTCCTGTCCCTTCTCTGGGCCTCCGTTGCCCCATCTGTAAGGCAAAGAGGCAGGTGTGGAAGGCCCCTGGGTCCTCAGCTTTGCGAGGCAGTGGGCTGTGGGTCCTGAGCCCCAGGGCAGGTCTCGGCTCCGCCGTCCTCGGGGAACCTTCCCTGATTTCCCCTCGGCTGGCCCAGGTCCCCTGGCTTCCGGTCCCACAACACCCCAACTTCTCCTCGGTGACACGCGCCACCCTGGCAATAATGTCTGTCTTTACAGTAACTTACCCTTTTTTCTTGTAAATTTTCTTTACTTTTGATGATGCAATAAACACACAACTCTAGTTTTATTAACAAAAACAACAACAACAAACTAATATCACAACTACGCTCTAGGGAGGTTTTGTTCTCCCCACTCTTTATCCCTCCAAATGGAGGCTCGCAAGGTCGCCTGGACCTGGAGTGGGTTTCACCTCGCAGGCCCCTGGGCCCGCAGTTCCTTCTGGATCCTCGTGGCCCGAGCCAGGGCCAGGGGCCTGCAGGCCTGTGGCTGGGCTGTCCCCTTTTGGGGCGAGCCGGTGGGGGAGCGTGTGCCAGGCCTGGCCCCGCCGAGTGCCACCTCTTCTTCCCTCCCCCAGGCTCCCTGCTCCGCGCCGACATGGCTGACAGCTCCTCTCTGCCGTCCTCCTCTACCGCGGCCCTGGCCCCTGAGCCGGGGGTCACCGAGCAGCTGGGGCCCCGGAGCCCCCCTCCCTCCCCGCCAGGCCTGGAGGAGCCCCCTGATGGAGCCGACCCTGACGTCCCTCACCCGGACCTGGCTCCCGTTGCCTTCTTCTGCCTGCGACAGACCACCAGCCCCCGGAACTGGTGCATCAAGATGGTGTGTAACCCATATCCTTTTGGCGGCCTCGGCCTGTCGAAGGCCCTGCCCTGGGCCATGCTGCTCCTTGACTGTGCCCTGCCTCCCACGCCTGCCTCTGGTCAGGAGGCCTTGCCGGCGGGGAGCAAGCGCAGTGGCGGGTCTGGGGAGGTGTCAGGGGCGGGGGGTTGGACTGGTGAGGACCTCGTGATCTGCTGATGTGAACACTCTGGGCGTTGCTGTGAGCAGAGGTGGGTCCGGTGGCTGGCTGGCGGGGAAAGTGCTCAGAGGTGAACCCCGGCGCTGGGCTGGAACCGAGGACAAAGTTAAGTCAGGCCCTGGGCACTGCTCCCAGCTCCAGTGACTGAGCCATTGGATGGATGGTGACCACAGGGGCCATGGGAGCAGGCACAAGGCCCTGCGGCCCGGCCAGAGGCAGCTGATCCCCGACGCAGGCTGAGGTTCCCCGCCCCGTTCTCCTGGCTGGGCCTCCATTTGGGGCCTGAGGCAGCAGTGCGCAGCCGCTCACAAATGCTGCTGCCTTCCCCATTGCCTCTAGTCTGCTAGAGCTGCGCCTGCCCTCCCCCCACCACTGAAGACCCTCCACCATTGCCCTGCGTGCCCCCGCCCAGGCTCACCTCCCGCCATCCTGCGCCCTTCCTCCCTGCCTGTCCAGGCTCCAGGGCCACCTCATCGCTTTTCCCTTGGTCTGAAAAGCTCTTCCCTCTCTCTTCACTGAGGCAGATCCTCGGTTGCATCCTTCATATCACAGCCCAGGTGCCCTGCCTTCATTGCAGCCCTCAGGGACCCCCGCTCAGCCGCTCTGTCTGCCGTCGCTATCTAGCCGTGCGACTCCAAATCTAACATTTGCCTCCTCCAGAGGTACTGCCAGGTGAGCAGTACCCTTGTGGGCCGAGCTTGTCACGTCACTGCGGGACCTCAGCACCCAGCACCAGAGCGCAGGCGGGGGCTCCTGCAGTGTCCGCTGGGCGCTCAGCAGCACTGTCTGAGCTGAGTCTCCAGCAGAGAACGGGGTGAGGTGGAGGGGGCCGCGGGGACAGGGGTACGGCAGGAGCAAAGGCCTGGGGGGAGGGGCCTGAAGAGAGTGTGGTGGGGTTGGCACGGGGGTGGGGTGAGGGGCAGAGTGGAGAGGTGAGGCTGGCGGAGTAGTGGGAGAGGTGACAGGCTCCGTGGGCCAAGCGCGGAGCCTGCCTGCGTCCTGAGGGCGATGGAGACCTGGGGAAGTTTAAAGTAGGGATGTGACGTGGCGAGATCCGTGTTTGAGAAGGACCCCTGAGCGGCGGCGTGAGCATGGATCGCAGGCATGAGCCTGTGGCTGGGGGCTGCTGAGGAGGAGGCTTTGGGACCTGGGTGTGGTGGCCTTACAGTTTTTGGGACCCACCAAGCAGGACAGAGTCCTTGCTGGTAGGGCCTGAGCCCGGCCCCGGGGGCCTGGGGCGCCCCGATGCAGGCAGGGCTGGTGAGGCTGAGAGGCACTTGCTGAGCTCACATCTGCTGGCCTCCCCGCTGTGTCGGGCATGGGGTGGTGAGGGGCCCCGGGCCCCTGCATCTGGGGAACAGGGGGTCTCTGCTGGAGTGAGCGGAGTGCAGAGCCGGGGACTCCCAGCTGGGTGGGGGCCAAAAACCTTGATGTCCATTCTGCGGGACAGCTCAGGGGGCCTCAGGCACTGTGCGAGGGTCCCTCAGTAACTCAGTTCACCTGCCACCTGCCCTGGGGTCCCGAAGGGAGGAGAAACAGAGCTGGTTTACCCTGAGGGGCTCCTGGGAGTGGGGGTGCATGCATCACCCATGAGAGCAGTTTTAGTACAAAATGTTGGGAAACCATAGGGACCTGTGTGGTGTGGACTGGGGGCAGCCAGGTCAGAGAAGGGGGCGCTTTCAGGGAGAGAAAGCTGGCTGGGCAGGCAGGGAAACTGTGGAACCATGTGGCAGGGACCTTGCCTCCGTGGGACCCAGGGTGGGTCCTGGCTCTGTCACTTAGGTGCTGTGTGACCTTGAGAAAGACGCTTTACCTGTCTGAGCCTCGCAAGGTCTGGATGGTCAGAGCCCTGGCTTGGGTGGCCTTGGCCTGCGGGTCTGGCCCGGCTTGCCCGCTGACAGCGCTGGCAGGTCTGGCTGGGCTGGGGCAGCCTGGAGCCGCCCACGCGTCCCAGAGAGGCCCCTGGACAGGGAGGGGGCGGAGTCTTGTCTGCCAGGGCATAGGTGTGTGACTTCGGGCAGTCTCTGCTCTCTGAGTATCAGCGCCGCCACTTCACCTGAAAAGGAAGGCCTGGGCGGGGTGTCCCCCTGCCAGTCCTGAGACCCAGGGCGCCAGCCACGCTCACCCACACCCTTGACCTCGGGCATCCTGGGACCTGACCACGGAGTGGAGAGCACAGAGACCCTCGGGGGTGGCCACGTCTCTGGTCTGCTGGGCAGAGTCCCTGCGGTCCTTTGTCCTATGTCCTCACCACCCCTTTGGCTTCTACCCTGAGGGCGTGTGAGAGCCTGGGGCCGGGGACAGCTGTGGCGAGGGAAGGGATCCAGACTCCAGGCGGAGCTGGGCTTGGCCCTCACCTGTCTTGGGGAGATCTCCAGGCCCACGTGTGTGGAGCTACGCGGGGTAGGGGGTGAGGCCGAACTCAGCTCCCTCTTTAGGAGGGACGCCCCAGCACTGGGACCTGCCGGGAGACCCGTCGGACCCCGCTGGGCCCCTCGCCAGAGGCTGCCAAGGCTGGACCGGGGGACGGAGGTCTCAGCGTGAAGTGGCCGCCTAACTGCTGGGCTGCCTTCTAGGCCAGAGAGCCGATGATTGCGGCGTGGAGCAGCCTCCGAAGTGCCAAGTCCTGGGACTCCCAGACTCCAGGCTTCTGTGATTGAGTCTAAGGGTTCCAAGTTCAGACTTAAAGCTCAGTGACACTAAAATTCTAAGCTTCTGTGATTCAAAGGCCGTCAACTTCTGTTTCAAATGCAGTGTCTGTTTCGAAAAGCAGTGTCTGACTGCAGTGGTGTGTGTTCAGGGGACAGAGGACCCACATTTCGGGGCCCGTGAATACGGTGCGACAGTGCAAAGGTTTCAGAGCCTGAGCCGGGTCAGCGGGAGAGAGGCCAAGAGGGGTTTCTCTGGGGGCAGGCCCAGGCGGCCTTGGTGTCCCCGGGGGCTCCTATAGCAGAGGCTCGATCATGCGGCGCTCAGGCTGGGTTTTAGGGGTTTGGGGTGTGTGGTTTTTGGTGTCTGGTCAGATGCCGAGGGCTCTAGGGTTCTTCCCTGAGAAGGACTCCCCCTCCTTCCCCTTTCCCCGAGGGAGCTCAGAGAAGGAGCAATGCCTAGCCTAGGGCCCCTCAGTGGGGACAGTGGTGGCATTTTGGGTATGACCATATTTTGTGGTCCTGGCTGTCTTGTACATGACAAGACATTGGGCAATTTAGTAGGCAGTGTTCTCTCATTTTGACAACCGCAAATGATGCCTTCACCTTCCCAGACTCTGCAGAACTCTGCTCCCTGTCAAGAACCCAGAGCAACGCTGGAGGGTAGGCATCAGGGCCGGGCTCACGGCAGCAGCTCTCGTGACCGGCAGGCCCAGGGTAATGTAGGAGGTCTGCCCCAGACAGACAGTCACAGCGCTGGTGTCTCTGGGGCTGAGGGGCCTGGCTCAGAGCCAGCTGCCCTTTCTTTGGAGCTTGGTGCTCCCTGACTCAACGCCTCATCCAGCCCAGAGCTAGGCCCTGACTCACCGCCTGACTCACCGGAGATCCAGAGGCTGCTCGACCCTCCCTGAGCGGGCGTGCAGGACAGGTTCCCTCACCCACCTGCCAGCAGGGCTCTCTGCCTGGCTTGGGCCTTGAGGGGGCGCTGTCTGCTGGGGTTTCAGCCTGGAGGGCTCTGGGTCTGAAATGTCAGGGGACTGGTCCCTGTCTGACACACGGGGAGGCGATGCATGGTGTGTGGGCCTGAGTTAGACGTAGGAGCCGGTGCTGCCTCTCGTTTGCTGTGTGACCATGGGCCTGTTTCTCAACCTCTCTGAGCCCCAGTTTCTCCTCTTGTCAAACCGGGGTGGTAATCCCCACTTCACAGGATTGCAAGGAAGACCAAAGCAGTTGCTTAAGGAACACGTGGAAATGGAGCTGTGCAGACCGGAAAAACCGCCCCACGTGCGGTTGTCATTCTCATTATCTGTGCCCAGAGGTGAACAGGGCCTGTGTGTGTCGCTGAGCAAACTCCCTGCTCCTGGTAGATTCAGTAAGACCTTGGGCATCAAGTCTTTAGGTGGAACAGCGCTTTCCGAGGACGTGGTTTCTGAGAAAGGCAGAGCCAATCTCCGCAATTTAGCTGAATTTGTGCCGGTTACGCTGCTCGCAGCCAGGCCCTCACCCGCGCAGGCCTAGCTAATCCATCCCAGCGTCCTCCAGTGGCCGGGGGGTGGGGGGTAGGGGGGAACTGATTAGATGGAATCCCATTTTCCACCTAGATTAGACTTTGAGAGCCTTCCGGAGTGTAACTGGCTGCCCGTGGGAGAAAGGCCAGGGGTGCACGTGCTCGCTCTGGCCTCCGCTCCCCGAGCCTGAGTCTCTGCAGCGGGGCAGTTTCAGACGGTTAGAGGCGACTCCTGTAACGCACCCTGTGGTGTGTCCAGGGCAGAGAAGCTGCTGGGGCCCCAGTTAGGAGAGCTGGCGCTTCCTGTGCTGACCTCTTTGCCTGCACCATCACCCTCAGCCTTACAGCCACCCGGCGGTAGGTGCCCTCGTGGCCCCACTTTACACACGAGGCAAGTGAGGCTCAGAGAGGTCGCGTCACTTCTCTCCAGGGCTGCGCAGCCGGGATACGGTCGAGCTGGGAGGAAGACATCCACTTCTCCACTTGCCCAGCCTCCGCTTTCACCCGCGATGCTGCTGCCCCCAGCAGAGCCTGCGTCCTCCACACGCCACGGGGGCAGGGAGGTGGCCTCGCCGTTCCAGGCGGCCGAGCAAGAGTCTCCCTGGGCTCCAGCGTCTGCGGTCAGCAGCCCCCTCACGGGGGCCCGCCTGGGGCCAC